AGGGATTGGCTCCGCTTGCATTAAACCAGTGCGAAAAGCGAGCTAAGATCGTGGTCGGTAATGTTACACGATAATGAGAATCTGCCCAGTGAAAGTGATGAAGAAAAGAGATTCACTCGTTCGACACGAAATCTGGATTCTTTCCTATTACGCCAACAAGATTCGTTGAACTAGTGAATCTCTCTTTTTCGCCACTGAATTCGAAGGCGAGGAATTTCCAGTTGCAACTAAAATCCAAGATGATTGGTCTGCTGTCACAAAAGTCGCAAAAGTCCTCGAGAGATGCCAGTTTCTCATTGGAATCCTCTTGGCGTTTCCACGATTAAGATGTTATCTTTCGATACAATGGACTCGGTTTCCGTCATCTTTTCTCCATGTTTTTTCTCTTGACCTTTCCAGGTGGATATTCTACAGCGAATACTTCTACAACTACCGGGATGTAGGGAGCGTGGAATGGGTGTACGGGGACGACTACCGGTTGAACTTGAAGACAGTCGGGAACCAAGCCTCTTCTCTCAGGTGAGTGAAAGTCCCGAGACTTTTCGAACTTGCTTCCCTCGGTTGTGCGTTGATGTACAACAGTAAAAAAAAAATCAGTTTAGGCAACTGAAAATATTAGTACGAATGAGAATCTTCCAACATCATCGACGAGAGCGTCGAGAATTTTGAATTTACAGGCTAGACAATAAGTCTGCCTGGGTCTGCTCGCCATTCATCCCTTACAAAAAATTTTCCCCTGAATTCAAATTGGGACGGCAAAACTGAGGAAAAAAAAAAACAGTTTTTCCCACGTTTCTTAACCAGGAGACCCTTTAGGTAGAGATAAAGGGAAAAAGCGGTAAAACTCGGAAGAACGTTAGCATGGAATGTTATCATCTGATCGTTGAAGTCATGGCTTCAATGATAGCCCCCCATTTGAAAACTTCCCTGGCTTAAAGTTCAAATTTGGAGCTGATGTTTCCTGATGAAATCAATTCTCATTTTCAGCATTATGATGAAGGGTTATCACTGGTACAATTCGGTTTATAAATTTGTCAAGAGCCAGCATCGTGATTTATGCTTTGCACGTTTGAAACACTTGTCCAGCAAACTTTGAAGAATAGCGAGAAATTTGGCCACGCTGAGGAGTTGATGAGTCAGGATGAAGTATTCACAATTTCAGGGAAATAGACGAAGAAGCAAGATTCTGATGAATGCGTCTGAAACAGAGGAAATATTTCCACCGTCACCATGCAGCGAAAGTATTTGGCAATGGTAGGCTTTAGAAATGGTGGATTTAGGTACTTTTCGTTTTTTCACGAAGCTCTGGGTTCCTTGTTCGATTCATGCCAGCGTTTTAAGTTTACGTACTTTCATGCAAAAAATGGACCAGATTCGGTCATTTCTGGTCGGGTCATTCGGTAGGGGCTCTTCTTCGTAGGAAATCAGCCTCTCCTTGAAGCGCGGAATTCTCCTTGAGACTCGTCACAGCCACAAGAGAGGCCGTCAAGTAATACGTGTATCTCTAGTAGGTTCGGTGTTTTCCCATGTGCTCGTGCTGTTTAATATGGAGGCTACGACGAACTAATTCCTCGCGACGACTTGACAGGTTAAAGCGGGACGCAATGCGGCTGCAGGTCAAGGAAAAAGTACTGGAGCAAAGAAATGGGAAAAATTGTTCGCAAGTTGCCGGCCTGACTACTCTCGTTAGCCAGGTGGGATGAGGGGGGTGTTGGGGGATGAAATTACATCAAATTTCATTCTCTGCACGAAGTTCGATGACTGCTGCCCTAAATGGATATTCTTCCTCTGGGTTAAAATATCTTGTGGATGCATGTGATCGATCGAAGGTATGCAGGAGACTCGGAGGACTGGAAAGCGAGCACCATCACGCTCTACGAATTTTATTTGTTCGCCGGGAAGGAATACTACGAGTCGGGAGACTCGTCGGAAGTGCCTAGCGAGATGACCACGGTCAGGTCCTTCATCGTCACCGGTCAAGGTTTCTGGACCCTTTATGCGTGAGTTTCCGATTTTTGTTTTGATATAAATTTTGGAAGTGATCGCTCTGCCGAGAATTGTTTCCGCCAGATCGAAGAACTTCAACGGAAATGGAATTTGCGTCGGGGCCCAGCCTGGAAACTACGCTGGCTTCGCTCCGGACCTGAACGCCTTCGGCATCGACACCGTCAGGTCCTTCCGAAAAGGGTGTCTCACCAAAAGCACGGTCCATCTCGACTCCGATCGGCATGGCGTCGTGTTGAAGGCGGTGGAGTAATAGTGTTCCTCTGAAATAAATTCGTAGAGCCTCGCCCGTTGGCTTTGATAAAAAAAGACAGATTTGTGAATGATGCCTGCACCCACTGAATCAAGGAAGATAGATATACGAAGAATCGCTATTTGACGTCATATCTATACTGCAAATAACTTTTAGGCTAGCGTAATTTGTTTAAGTTCAAGCCCCTCAGAAAATGTGCATAAATTCGAGGTAGCACTGATTCCATAACCGTAATTCGATGCTATAAGCCAAAAATTTTGCCAATCACATCTTATCGCATCGTCTAGACAGTGATGAAGGCTAATCCGGGATCACTTGTCGTGAGGAAGCCCGGAGCATGGATGTACCACTCATTTAGGTCGTGGAGCTCGGTGCCATCTCGGTGCCATTCTCGCAACTTCAGCGGGTCGTGCTCCGGGATTTTTCCCTGCTTCTTCTGGGACTTTTTCGTCTTCGCATGGTACATAAGCGTTTATTCAAGTGCTGGGTAAGAATATGACTTGGTTACTACCTTCTTTTGTCGCATAGATCATGAGACATTCTCGAACTTAGGAACACAACCCCACCATGTTCTTAATTTCGATATAATGTCGAAAAGGAATGTGCCTAAGTTCGAGACAATATCGAAATAAGGAACAAACTGGAAAATTATGAGGAAATTTGGAGGAAATTTGGAGAAATTCCTCCAATACCACGGGAAACTAAATTTCAAAGGACAACAAGTAAACGATCTATTTCCGTGAAAAAAGATGCAGTCTTTATCTGCTATTTTTCGTCATCACCAGCAGTCCCTCGTAGTTGACACTTGCGTGAGCCATGTGATGGGCAGTCGGTGGCAAATGGCCGGGGAGCGGTTTGCTGAAGCCGGCTCAGGGGCGGGCGTTTCCGGTTCGTCGAGTCAGCCGTGGCTTCCGTACCCTTCGTATGCACCATCGATGAACCGGCCTTCCAAGAACCGGAATACATATTGAATAAAGACCCATCGTACTGCAGCTGTACAATACATCTCTGTATAACGCATCATAGAGAGATACCTCATGCATAATTTGGCAAAAACCTATCTCTTCTTTCACTTCATTTTCATGTTCATCTGGGTGAGATGTGCATGCAACGTCAGCGAAGTCTCCTTTTTCTATGAACCATTCATGTGACATTAAACCACTGCTAAGATCAGACGCATCGGTTGAGCACTATTCGTGTCACTAATCCCATACTGTCGCTAAACAGATGTATTTTCACGAGATGCGTGTCCTTCAAATTGTATCCTGCAAATTTTTATATTTTCTCGCAAAACGTAGGACTCAACTTGCACTGATGATACCGATACCCAACGGTTGAATGGTTTAGAGGCGAAAGAGAGACAGCCCACTGCGAAATGTTGCTGGTGGAACAATCCTCTCCTGCGCCACCTCCCCCTTTTCCCTCCCTTCCCCCTTGGAGGGGGGGGGGGGGAAAGGCCCCCCTCTCGCCTCACCGGGGTCGGAATTGCCTGGAGTATCCCTGGGCTAGGATACTCCAGAGGAAAGAGTCTACAGTTCCATTGTCTTCCACTTCGACCTACGTGGGAAACGACGAGGAACTGTATCGGAGGTGCAAGAGGCTCATTTCAACAAAATCCGGGTATTAATTCCTACGACGAAAACTTAAATCTCTCACCGGTTTGGAAACTGTTCGGATAATTGTGAGATGGTTTGCCCGAGACTTTTTGCGTGGTTCAACTTGCGTACGTTCCACGTCGGGCCAGCAGCACTTCTGCCACTGTTGTTACGTGCCGACCAGCGAAAGACCGATGGATGGGGGAACGATGGCACACACAGAGAAATCGGTAAGTCGAGATGAAATACTTCTCTCAATTTTCGCTTTTCGATTTATTTTTCTCGAGAGAAAAATACATCAACTGGATTTTCGATTTATATCTCTCGCTTCCCGACCGTGCAGGGTCGCCTGAAAGGCGTTCGCAAAACCAAAATGCGTCTATAGCCGAGTCGGAAGGGTGTTTTGAGTGGCTGAGCATCGTCTAGACCAGTGGTTCTCAACCTTCCTTTTACTCCCATTGAACCTTCATACATTCGGGGGGGGGGGGGGGGGGAACCCCCCNGAGATCCGACTGTTAAATATAGATATTTAACAGTCCTTAAGTATACAGTACATAGACTCCTATGGGAGAAAAAGAGCTCCTTCGCTAAAAGCCCCGTCGTCTCCCCTAAATGAGGTTCGTGTATTTGGGTTTTAAGCTCAAAAGCCACTATATTCCCACAATAGGACATGCAAGGCAAATTTCGATGTGGCTGAAGTTCATCACGAAATGTTCAATGCGGCAGAAGCGCATGATATACCTGACCTATACACGCAGAATCAAATTAATGCATTGTCGTCGAGAAAAGAGTTGTCCTCCATGTGATGCGTTTTTATCGCATCCAACATTTGATGCGATAACTGCATAAACACATCGATGCCATAAAGACGCATCACATGCAGGACAGATTTTTTGACGAGAAAAATGCATCGAACTGAGGCACTGAATTTTCCGTGTGCAGGTGGGACTCAGTCGTCCGCCGACGTTCGCCGACGAGCCAACCTTTCCAGCTGTGAGGAGAACATAATAACTAAACTTTGTTTGACTGGGTTATTGTTTACATTTTGAAATGCTACTTTCTGCTGTGGGCATTTTCCGACCGCAGAAATCGGGAATGCAGTGCTTGCAGGAATCTCGCAACGATTTGAAGAAAACAAACCGCCAGAATGCGAGGCTCCACGATTTTATTTCTAGGGAAGATAGGCGAGATGCGAAATCATTTCTTGGCCTTGGAGACGACGCCGTGCTGATCCGAATTGAGATGGATCTTTTCGTCGCCGAAGCACCCTCGTCGGAACGACCTGACCGTGGTGATACCGTACTCGGTCAGATCCGCAGCGAATCCCACGTATTGTCCCGGCTGGACCCCGAGGCAGACTCGGTCCCCGCTGAAGTTCGTCGACCTAGAGGACGCACCACAAAATTTTCAACATCGCGGGAAAAAAAAGTCGGATCAGGCAGAAGAGGGGACTCACGAGTATACGGTCCAATAATTCTGACCCGTGATGATGATGGACCCCACAGCGGGCATCCCTTGCACATCGGTCGTGTCCGCCCACTCGAAGTATTCCAACCCGAAGAACAGATCAAACTGGAAGAGCGTGATGGAATCGAACTTCCAGTCGTTCGTATCGCCTGCGTACCTGGAAGAGAAAGCTTTCTTCAACGAGGCAGTCGACTGAGCGAAATAGTCTAGAGGATCGCGATCGCTCACCTGAGAGAGGAGACTTGGTTGTTTGTCGTCCCCAGGTTGTAGCAGAAGTCGTCTCCGTGGATCCATTCCACTCCTCCAAAGTTCTCACTGTTGTATAAGGCTTCGCTGTAGAATATCCAACTGGAAGAAAATAGCACGAAGGAACGATGAACTGCATGGAAAGGCGCGAAAGAACGCAGGGAAACGGGAAGAAATCTTCGCATCGAGGATTCTTTCCCTTCCAATTAGATCTGCAGAAGAAATTTGAGCCTAATTCCTAGGGAAATTCCTCGTGAGGTCGATGGAGCTTCCGTGGAACCTTGCCCGAAAGAATCATGAAGAATCCCCGCGATGTCGTTCGAGAGAATTGCCGTCGCAAAAAAATTTCACGATCGACAGGGATCTCATCTGGCCGGTCGTGTATCGTCTCTAACAAAAATATTCCACATCTTTAAAACTCTGAAATGAAAAACTTAAAGTTCCTTTAAGTGGTTCGAACGGTATGTTCTTGCAACCGATGCCATACATCGTATTAGTAAATCTCGAAAGAACAATGGGGGCAAGAGACGCAAAAATATTGAAACAGGACGGGACCAGTCAATTGTTTCTTCGAATGTGTATTTCAGGAAAGTACGACAAGAAAGAATCTTCCTCGTTTGGTACCATTTCAAAATGAAATTGAAGGTGTCTACCAGATCAAAAGATCTTTTTTGCTGATTCCATGAAAGCACTCCCTTCTGCATGGTGGACCGAAATTCCAATTGCTACAAACGAATCCATGTGCAATCTTAGAACAGCCTTTGCCGAGCTTGATATTCCAGGAGTCGCTTTTCTAAAACACAATCCCACTCCCACTCGCCCACCCCACGAGTCCAAACCCACACTTCCATCTTTCCACACGTTGAAGATGATTGTTGAAAAAAAGATTTCCTTCCAAACTAAAGACTCTCTTGTATTTCCGAGCTAAGAAAAGGCAGAGCGAAAGAAAAGGGGAAAGGGAAGGAGGGGATGGGGGGGGGGGGGCGGGGGGGGAAGGGAGGGATTTTTGGCTGGTGTGCAAGTCTAACCCATCCACTTCTAGGGTGAAAAAAATCTCTTTAGCTCAAGAACGCCCTTTATCTTTCCAAAAGGAGGTTCCAGCATTCGGACCTAACTCCTTCTGTAAAGAATGAAGGTCTCGGTTGGACTGGTTCTTCGATGAGAAGGCACTGACGGGTTTGGGAATATTCCTTTCGGTCTTCCGTCTGCATGCACAGCAAAGCAGAAATGCAAAGTGAGGTGAATATTTTGTGCGTTAAGAGGTACAAACGTGTGTCGTAAAATACGTTCGTTGATAAGTACCGAAGTAAAATAAGGTACCAATGTGTACCTTTCTTATCTCTATTCAGAAGGTACGGATGATACGGATAGAATCTCATGTGTACCTCGTTTCGGGCTCAAGGGCGTTTGAAGGATCTGCTTATGAACCTCAATTTTCAATTTTGAGGAGCCTTGAAGTGAGCTTTAATGACATCATCATCCGGCACAACGTCTCCGACATTCGGCGAGCTGTCACAGATAAGACGGTGACAGTTCGGCAATGCGTGCACGACGCAACAGGACGTACTGCCTCTCTCATAAACAGCGCCTTCTATCGTTAATCATGGAGACAGTAGGTACCAAGTCCACACTATCATAGAGTAGAGGCTGTAACTAGGGGCGACACTCTGCTCAAATCCTATTCATTGACAGGGTCGGAATATAGATGTCGCTGTCAATCCTCCACCTAGCGTGCGTACATCAGCAACTCCTCCATGGCCGAGCAGCGGACTCAACGAGACACCCGTGTTACGTCGAGAACTCCTTTTGGGTCGAATCCCTGAACGAGTCAATTCCTGATTCCGCTGCCAAGAAGCACGCCCCTCGGAAGTGTCGTCGATAACAAGTCACCAGATGCCTCTGCGATATTTCGCCCCTCGCCTACCCTCGAAGTGTCGCCTCTAGTTACACTCTCCACTCTATGGTTGTAAGAACAAGCTTTCAATTTTATTAAAAAACCGAAAAAAAGCATATTCGTCTGAAAAAAAACTTCTTACCTGTTGTTAGTTCACACTTCTCTGTGCTCGTGCGAAAACCCCAGCATTTAAAATTTCCCAGAATCATTGAAACATGATAATTATACTTTTACCAAATACTGCTTTACAAGTATCATGATGGACATACAGGAAAAGGAAGAAAACTCTTCTCCTACGGTCCAGTACGTCCTGATTCGGGTCAGATCGTTCGGGGAACATAAACGCCATCTTATGCCTATTTTGAGTATTGCATTGGAAATCCATCTATAACCCGGACATCTGCGCCCGCAACGTACATATGTGTACGTCTGGACCACATCCGTACACAGGTACGTATGGACGTACGCACACAGACTCGAAGGACACAAATATGAACGTCTCACATTTGTACCTCTAATTGTACGTTTCTATTCTGCTGTGTGTGGATGAAATGGAGTTGCGATTTGGCGCCTGTCATCATCAGGGTTCATCCATTTCAGTTCTTAAAGCAATTAAGAGAGAACCTGTGCAAGGTCACTTCATTCTATTTTCTCCACTTCGTTTTGATTTTGTTTTTCTTGAAGAACTTTGCCAGAGTGTCGCCGAGAGCGACTGCATTTCCATCGATGGCCATCATCTCATAATTTCATTTACAGTCACGGTATTGCGGGCACGCGGAGATGTGGAGATCCCGATCGAAACGAAGCGAGAAAAGTGAAGGAGAACTCACACTCCGGTGACGCAAGCGCTGGAGATGACGTTGTCCCTGATGTACGGGTCACAACCGGCGGCAAAGTCCGGGCAATACTGATTCCTCAAGCTCCACGCCCCGGTATCGTCATAGTTGGGCAGATCGTAGATGGTCGCGACCTGGTCCTGAGCCAGGCTCAGACCCAGGCCGAAGAGGAGCGTGAGCGCAACGGATCGCTGCATCCTAAGGTGCCTTCTTACCTTCTTTCTCTCTCCGTCAATGTGGACTGACTCTTGCAGGCTTCTGGGTTCCACGGGGGAGGGGGGTTGCTATTTTTAACTGCGAAATGTTCACAGGTGATGCAATGGAAATCCGATATCGTTCTCTTCTAGGGTCCTGGATATCGAATCGGGATTCCCAGTGCGAGTCACGAGGAGCAGATAGGGACGAAATGCGGCGTCTCGGTTGCGAGAAACTCGAAGATGACCCAAAGACCCATTCGAGCCGGGATGCATTTGTGTTCCAGTTGGGGTAGATCCTTCGCATGCATAATATTTTAATTCGTTCGATGGGGAAGATCTAGAAGTGTTGGACGGCGCAGGATTTGTGCGAATTCCTTCTATTTCGTTAAGCTCGTGGAGGACATGGAGGCTGGAGAATTGGGACTCGTGGGTCCGTACTCGCGTTCATTGAATATTTTGCAATCATATTCAAATTAAGGGAAAGACGGATCGTTTTGGCAGAGACGGGAGAGGATCCGTTTACCGCATCGTATTTGACTCACCTCGAATCCCCAAGAAACCGATGAAGAGGGTCTGCGAGCCGACAGCCGGTCGAGAATGCGTGCAACTGCGATCTCCCGACGAAAATCTTGCCGTGCGGTCTCGGTTCTTTTCTCTCTTCGTCCGACGTTCGTGTATCGTTCTGTGAGCGTAGTTGATTCCCTCTGACCAAACGAAGAGGGGGAAATTTCAAATTTTCGATCAACTTCGCGAGGAGTCGCTCCGCACAGCAGTGCAGCAAGCCGACGTACACTTTTGGGAATGGCGCTTTCCAATTTCTCTTTCATCGCCTCGTCCTGTTCTTTGTGGCTGGTGCATTGAAGAAATTCTTACTCTCGCTCGACCGCCCTTTCCTCGCCCTCTCGACTCGATTCGTTTCTACCACGAAGAACATGAAGGAGCAGAAACAAGGGAAACGGTTTTCCACGTTTCTCCGCATTGAAGGTCTTCCCGCTTTGGTCCCTCGGGAACATTCCACGCCCGGCACGACGACCTACCGTTAGACTCTCCGCTCGTGGCATCTTCTCGACGCCGTGGGAATGCATCGGAATATCGTCTCGAATCGAGAAAACTGTTTCATCGTGAGGAAGGAAAGCGAGGGAGGGGCTGGTCAGGAAGCACGAGACCATCCGAAGTGATTCATTTCAATGAGGTTTTATTTTCGCGGGGGAAAACAGATTCCCAGGTGTGTTTGGAAACCGATCTCCTGCCCTTTTCACGATCTTCCTGATGTCGGTCGACAGCCGAAGACTCGAAAGCAAACGTTTTCCAAAAGTTGCGGCTCGGGACCTTCTTCGGTCGCTCTTTTGAGTTGACGCCCGTCCAAGTTTCTCTCTCTTTCATTTCGGAATATTGCACACTTTTATGGACTTCAAATCGGCACAGATTTGTCATTTCGAGTTTCTCATTCGGGTTTTTGTCGGTCAGTGGGTGAGGAGGAGCATGATGAGCTGTCTCCATCCGCTTTAGAGCGGGGAGATGTGGCAAGTTTCGTGATGGCGTTCGAGCGAGGACATTTCGGCGCCTCATGAGATCAAGTCTTTAAATTCAGCGGATTTTAATATTTCATTTGCGACGGGAATCCGTACGAAGCTCTAAATGTATTGCGTGCTTGCGATAAGCCGACGAGAACCGGTCTCCAGCCGGGGACGTGAGCCTCTGCGTCGCTTCTATCGCTCGGTGCCAACGCATCCTGGGAATTCCTGCACGTGCGACTCTTCCTCCGCGATCGCTGGGACGTGTCGGTTTTCTCAGCGAGTTCGGTCGATAAGCGTTGGTCTTCGGTTTTCATATTGTTGCTTTCACAGTTCATATTGTTGCTTGACAGGAACGTATATCAAGGATGCAGAACTGGCGGCAAAGCGCGACAAGAGCGAACGCCAGATGAGACTGAGAGAACTCCTCCTTGATAATTCTATCGATGCTTCACTGATCGTCATGTAAGTATCTCATTACAAAGAACAGGACTTGGGAGTTTGTCTGAGAAGGCAGAACGAAGGTCAGATGTGACCTTGGTGGAATCACCTTCGCTTCTCCTGAAGCCTCTATTCAGTTTGTTTGTAATCTCTAAAGCTAGGGAACGAGTATTTTGCGTGAAACCGTGACGCAGCTGAAATAGGCTTCTCCCAACTGTGAGGAACATGAACGTACATTTTTCATCACACACTCAGAAATGGATATAGATTTCTACGCAGTCGTCGCTTGCTCGTCCAGTTGACCAGCCTCATAGCTGAACTCATTAATAACTACATTCATCGACCAAGCGAATTGATGAAATTTAGTACACAAGCCCGCATTAATATTTTAGAGCAAACCATGAAAAATAATAAAGTCTCAAATGTGTGGCATGAATTTTCACATAGGAAACGTTCAAAGCAATCCAATTTCAATCGCGGAAATTGGGTCATGCTTATCGCCGAAACGGTCACCGAGATTTTTGCTGATGAAACGTTGCAGGAAAACTCCTGAACATGTGCAGAAAAATCCAGCAAAATTTCTAAAGGTCAGAAGATAAGGCAATACAGAGAAAACTTGACAGCAGACCCAAGGTATTGGAGAGGAGAGGTCATTAGTTGAAAGTCAAACTGAAAGGCAATGCCAAGATGATATCTTTGGAGGTAATTTCAAGAAGTTGTCAGGGTGTTTGATCCATGTGCGCTAATTATGATCCATGTATCAGCTTAATGCATCAGACTGATACATGCATGAAGATGATACATAGTAATCATCTCAATTACTTTCCATGGATTAAAAACACTAACAACTTGTTGAAATCGTCTCCAGAAATCTCATATTGGCAACACCTCGCAATTGGACTCCCGTTCTCTCCTGTTCCCACATTTGCCAACTTAATGAAGCATCATGAAATATTTGGCAGATAATTCCTTATTGAATTTTTTGGCTCTGTGCTTGAGTTGTATTGGGATACCGCAGGACTCAGCCAATGCCGAGAAAGGGGGCAATATCAGCCCCGCTGTACATGGCCTGGTTGGAGATCCTGACTAAGGCCATGCCTCCATTCCTCTTTGTCAGAGGCAATCAGACCTCTGTCATCACCTTCTACTCCTGAGCAACTTCATCTTCCATCCCATTCACATCCATTCGCATTCCATTCTTCTCATTGGTGCTGTCATCATCATTAATAATAATCATATCATCATCATAATCATGCGCCTGTTGTGTTTGTAGCCATGGTGATTTGTTGTACTTCTTCTCACTTCCTGATGTTTTAGAGAACAGTATCCCCTGGTCTGCTTCTCATTTTCCGACCCCATGAAGTAATTTATTTATTTTCTTCCTGTCTCTCCCCATTTTGGGTGACGTCATTCCTCCAGTGTGACTTGGCAGATATTCTCTGGCCATGTTTATTTTATTGTTGATTTGTCGGCGCAGTGCCCTTAAACGACTGTTTCCAAAGACGTCATTCTTGCTGTTCAATAGAGCACCAATTGGAACATAAAGGTGTTACGTTGGAGAAACGTATCATTTCTCGTGGATCTCGTTTTATTAATATCCAAGTTATTTGTGAGAAATAAAAAGCGGCGTGGAACTAATAATCATCCCAGTTTTACTTTCACATGGCAATGGTCTAATAAGTATTTCCTTATTGAATCGCGTGCTCATCCACACTAATCGTTGCTGTGTGAGGTAATTGAGTTGCTAGTTTTATTGCCTTTTTTGTAAATCTTGGTTGAGAGTGGCCTCTTGTATTTTGTATATGTACCTCATCGCAAGTAATCAGTGGCATTGCTGCCTAAGCCATTAAAATTACCTTTTCTCTAATCATCAGTTATAATACTTAAGCGTTTGATCAGTCTTCCTTAATCTTGAGGTTAAGAGAGTACATATTCTTTGTCGTGGTCACATAGATCATGGCACGCCACAGTTACGTTGAGGTATGATGGGCTCATATTCCCAGGCTCTTTATTTCATTACTTGTTTACTGTTGTATTTGCTTTTTAGCATCGTTTCTAATTGCAGATTAACAAATTCCACTTTTAAAGAAAACTATCATTCTCCTGAAGAATTTCCTTGTATTTTCTTTATAAGGATGCCTCTCGTATCTATATCCACTTTCCCCCACCTGGTGACTCTCGTCATGCTGATAGCACTATTAATACTGAGCTCTTTCCGCCAAATGATATTCATTGTAATTACGATATGTGATGGTTTCTTATCATTAGCATGGGGATGAATAAAATGAGTGCATTCACCATCATCCAATCTTAGCAACTATTTTTTTAAAGATCCCAAGAAACTTCGAAGATACCTGGAAATAAATCCACAGATGTCAAAGGCAAATTTATGCAAAATATCGGCACATGTTCTTAGATCAAATGAATCCAATAGATTTACTCTATTGACAATGTTTAGCACAATAAAGACCACCATACATCAAGTTGCAACACCTGATATATTAGCTTGGCTCAATAAAGCTAGCTTTAAGACGCCAAATACATTGATGTTAAACTTAAGCCCTTCAGTGTTTATGAATCATGACTTTTTGAGTCAGTAACAATATAATATGGTCAAGCATTGACTACATATCAATCCTATAAACTGTTTATTACTTTAAATACTCATGATTTCGCTGAGGTTCCTTCTCTCTCATCTCATATGTGCATACTAATAAATTGTTTTTCTGTTTGGTGCCAGAGAAATTCGTTCAGTCCTGAAATGAGGGTTGAGTGGAGATCCTGGAAACGCCCTAGAAGTCAGGACGAAAACGAGGATGTTGTCAGGGATGTATGCCTCCCGAGTCATTTGAAGAATCCAAGACTTGCGTCGCGTTTCATCTCTGAGGCATCTGTCAGAAAGGTCAACGATGGTGCAGGCAGCGTGAGGCGATCGGGCGAGCGGGAACTCACCTCCCACGTCTCGTGGATTTCAGCAGGGCGATCAAGGAAGAATACGGAAGAGTCCGTCCCGCCAGCTGCTTCTCGACCACTCACTTTTTCTTTGGATCGGATGAATATGAAGCACAGGTACGTCTGGTTTTTCATCTGTCGAGAGAAAATCGGTTTGAAATTCTTGGATATAGCATCGCACTGCGGCAACTATAAAAGAATCAGAAGCGTGGGAATGGGACAGACATCCAAAGTCGCTCGCGA